ATCTGGGTATTAAAATGTAATTAAATTAAAGGAAATAAACTCAGCCATGAGACCACATGGACACACAGAAGTTCGCCGTCTGCCACACGCTGATGCTTATAGAGAGCATTACTGATATTCAAGGGTGTATGCAAACAAATCCACCTTCTAATCTCCTGCCCGCATAGCAACAAGTATTAAAGTATTTAAAAAAAAACAAGTCATTCACTCCACCATTAACAAACAGATGTTTTTTTCTTTTTAAAAGAAAACAATCAAAACAGCCATGTTTTTTTTAAATTAGTGTAAATAATTGCTCACATCGACACACGTAGACAGTAGGTCAAAGTCTGGCTTGAAAACACTATCAATGACTTAATGGATCACTGGAAGTGCATCAAGCTCATTGACTGATTGAGAATCCATTCACACATCTGTCACTCTTTTCTCTTTATTTTCATACATGTTCCAGCCGCCATGCAGGCGCTATTCCTAAACTGTGTTTCCGCCCTTCCTCTGCAGCAGTAGCTTTTAATAGCACAGATCATCTGGGATTAAGCTGCTATAATCGCTCTTTCCATTGACCGCAGTCACACTGGCGGCTCCCAAGGGTCAGTCTTGATCTTCGGTGTTAAACACAACCCTAAGAGTTTCCGAGCCTCACACGTTGCTGGATGACCTCCACCAGCTCTCTGAGGTGGGATTATTGTGGGAAAAGTAGCAGAGGGAAAAAATATACTTCCACCATTCCCATGTATTGGGATTATCGTAGGAGCAGAGGGAAAGATATTCGCATTTGTGTGTGTCAACATTGTATAACTGATATCTGGGTTAGAACAGTTTAGTTTTAGTAAAGTGTTGCATAACTGTGCAAAGAAAGACTTAGTCAGTCTGAGCATATAGTGACTTGGGAATATACTGCATGCACAACACTGTGTGGGGATATTTATATACCACCTTTTACATACAGTGTGAGGGTGGCGAGCTCAATTGTTTGTGTTTGTTTTCTGCCGATGGAGGCAGAAATGAACTACTTTCAATCACAAATCTTGCCAGCACTGTTCAGGATCATTGCCTTGCTCCAGTTTTTCTCACCCAGTAGCTCCTTATTACACTGATGCACCAATGGTTATCAGATTCATTCAGGGCCGGACTGGGACAATAAGTCAAGCCGGGAATTATACACCCAGCCAGGCCACTACCAGTTTTTTGTGCCATTTTGCTGGATTTATTGGTCAACATTTACAACGTGGCTGCCCATATAGCCCTCTTGTTTAAATCTACTACCCAAAAATAAACATATGGAGATGGGTTACTATTTAAAAAAATGTGCAAATCTATTTAGGAACCTATTCATGTGAACATATTTTAATTGGGGGTGGACCTCAAATCCTATAGGGGGGTCCGGGAGGCATGCTCCACCGGTAAGATTTGTTTTTAAATGTTGGACTTAAATGCATCAATCTGGTGCACTTTGAGGGGGAAATAAAGAGAGAGACTACACCCATATGAAACAGAACTGTATACATTTAAATAATCATAAAACCATGATTGCCGAAGAGTGTCTAACTCATCTTACAACAAAAATACCTAAAAAGACAGTTTGTGAATTCTAAAGTACGACGATAGGCCCTGACGAATTCTCGTAAGGTACCTTATAGTTGTTGTTCCATAGAGCTCCGGGCCAAGGAGTTCGGAAATGGATGGGGTGGAAGATCGTTCACATTCATTACCCAGTTGTTTCATAAGGCCCACCAAACCACCAACAACAAACAAGGATTTCTGTTACTTGGTCTAACAACAAAAGAAAAAACTTTATTAGTAGATCAACTCGGATTGTAGTTGTGTTTTTCCTTATTAAGACTGGTAATGAGCTACAATTGGTGAACGTGAAATAACGCGCTCGAGAGGCTTGTGTAACGTCCCTCTCCCGATTCCCCGCCCTGTAGAGAACTCGACCAACTGTTAGTGTTGTCTCGGCCGGCTCGCAATCCCTGGTTAGTACTCGTCTGACCCGCAGACCACACGATCTTTCTCCCACTTTACTCCGACGACGCTCGTGACCGGTCAGTCACTTTTCTTATTTCCTCGACAAACTCTGGTACATTCCTCCGTGACCTCTGTACCACCTGTCATCGGTCCGTGTTTTCACACTTTTATGACTTTGCACTTTTAATCGTATATTACGTGCGGCAGATATTTCATGTCGGATTGGGTTCAGTAAAGGATTGGTTTGGAATGGTCCCAACACGGTTATGTAACTTCCCTGCACTAACTAAAGTCTTATCCCTAAATAATTTCGCAATCCTCTCCTAGTCCGGCTACATAAAACAGAACGACTTTTTCCCCGAAGTTCGGAAGTTTACAAGGGATGAACTAAGACAATTGGCCGTCGTACTAATATTGTCGCAAATCACAAAAGTAAACCTCTTCCAGACAACTACGTAAAAGGTATGTCAGGCGAATTAAACCAAGACCACTAAATCCCGACGGCGTCTGAAAATATCTCGACAAAGGCGAGGTGAAGGATACGAACAATCTCCAGTTTAGGCTTAGGTCCGGGCTGACCGGTAGCCTCCTGGCCCTCCGAAAGGGCTACCCTGACCGGACTCCTAAAAAAAAATACCACCAACAACACTTGCGTGGTCCGCGACCTGACCCTGTCTATTCAGTCGCCCATTAATATTGGTCGTCGCGTACGAGTGCATGGTCAAAAAAACACGGTAACAACTACCTACCACCCAAAAACAGTATAACCAATGTTGAACGGACGGGTAATCACCTATCGCGAGTCAATTAGATTGATGATGGCGTCTTTATTCTTGTACTACCTCTACCCAATAGATAAAATTTTTTACAGTTTCAAATAAATCTTTCGGATAAAGTACACTCTGTATAAAATTCAAAGCGCCCCTTCTTCGAATGCGGAAACGAGGGTGTTACGCTCACAGCCGCTTTAGCACTGCGAAGTTGGTGGCTAGTTTCACTCTACCCCGTCCTTCGAACTACGCCGTCTCCGCCGTGCGGGCGGCCACACAGTGTGCCGCCTCACGCAACGGCGTAGTTGCGAAAGACGGGGACCGCTAACCCAGAGACGGACCAGTACAGTTCGAGCCCTCCCCCACACACTCCTCCCTCTCCCTCCCTCTGTGCGCGGCGTCGACTAAGTCTCGGACATGTGTGCACGTGCTGTATTTTACTTAGGCCTTTTTGTATATTTATATGTTCAAAGTTACAAAAAAGCTATAACCGTATACCATACCAATAACCAAACTCCCACGTACAAA